TGACATAAAAATGACTTCTAACTTATTCAGTAAACGAATGACCCGAGTGAAGTAGTATGTTGAACTTGGAAGATTTCAGAGAAAAAAGCTTTTTGCATTCACAAGCTTAGCATGAGTTTCATTAGCTTGTAATCACTACTTGTGTTAATTTTGCAACCTATAATCACGCCATACACTATTTCTACAAATGATATTATTGGTTTGACCTCCCTCTCGCAGCCTGTCGGGTGGCCTCATGCTTTTCTGACATCCTTATGATATCTGCTTTCAGCAGATACCGGTAGTACCGCCCGGACACTGAACTACTATTCCTCAAAGTGACCAACCTACGAGTATCTTATGCTAAAGAAGAGCCCAATTGTGAAGCTGAATGAAACCTAAGTGACATTCCTAAAGATACGCATAGGAACGGCGAAATCGAAGTATGGACGATAAATTCACTAATTTGATAGTATGTAGGACAATCAGCAGCCTAGTGATTATGAAAGATATACAAAAGAAGAAAGCCGCTAAAGCTGATAGTCTACCGCAAGTATAGAGAAACATACAAATGAAAGCTCAAGAAGTTTAACGAAAAGTTGCCAAATATTCATATGAATTTTCTCAAAGGATTAAAGGCATAACAGTGGAGGGAATATAATTATTGGTAATTTTTATATATACTAAATGCTAGCAAACATCTTGGAGAAAAAAGGCCAAAAGCCTTGCTGTAGATGTTGCGCCAAGAAGAGGATTTCCCGGAAGCAGAGAGGATCGAAAGGGAATCTTCCACACTATTAATCAACCTGACAAAAAGAAATACCTAATGAATATTTAATGACTGCAGGAAAAGATAAACTGATAAACAGGAATTCGGCATTCGGGGCCAAAGAGACTAGAAATTTCTTCTAGATGCAACTGGAATGCATAAAATGACTTTTTCTATTTGCTCAGGGTGCCTGGATTAAATCACAGAGATTGCCCGTGTAGATACTACCTGATGCCCGGGAGCTTTGCTTGGTATGGCTACAACACACATTCTACCAAAGGCTTATAGCAGACCATAAGAAATAGCGCCTGGGGTAGAACGTATACAATGACTGAACCGTATGAAATCAGTCAACCAGTAAAATAAGAAACGAATCTTTTGGCCATGAAGGAGATTAAGATAGGACGCCCGAGTCAGATCAACAATTCCGACAAACAGAGAGGCAGAGGAACAAGACAAACAAATAGGTAGAAAACCCTCACTAAACTCGCCAAAAAAGACACATATCGAAGAAAAGTTAGGTTTCGAGGAATCTCTTATTTCATAATTGCTGTGCTTACTTCCATTTCCAGTGAAATTCTTTGGTGAAGAGCTTCGAAGGTCGATTCCACCAGAAGATGACGGCGGAGTCCCCTTTACCAGCTGTCGATTGGCTTTGCTGGAATATCGTCACAAGCAAATTCAAGCTTTCAAGTTTTCTTGACTCGTTAGCTTGAATTTGGTTGTGACGATGATACCTTGCTCTGATGATGTTCGTCACATGACGGATGAAAGCTTAGCACCTTTTCACCGCGGAAACAACGTCACCAAGAATGTTCCAATAAAGCCAATCGACGCTATCGTCTTCTGGTGGAGTCGACCTTCGAATTTTTTCACTAAACACTTTCACTCGAAATGGAAGTAAGCACAACACCTATAGAAGTTACGAATATGACAATGTCATTAGTTGTGAAAGGAAGAAGTTCATATATGCGAATAGGGAGTAGAACACATAGCGGAGGGATAGCACAACCGTTTCTACAGAAAGTTAGTCAAGAAATTAGCTTCATTGGTCACTTTAACGAGTTGTAGCTTAGTATTAAGAATGACATAACTCATTGAAGACGCCCACTATAATACAAGCGAACCGCCTAGGAATGTACCTAGTCCAAGTTCCAAAATTTAGAATTAGTATATTTTCTGTAGAAGAGAACCTGGAACAATGTGCGTCCAACTAGGTCATCCTGGCCGTACGACCAGGTTACGTAAACGAGGTCAGACTACTCCTGCGACCAAAAGGGAGGCCCCGACATCTTGTACTTCATATCTACGACAAACCTTTTGTTGGGCTTTCTTCTTTCCTCCGGTCCTGATTCCCAGAAGCGTCTAATCTTATGCCCGCAAAATGAATTAACTGTGAGAGAGCGAGCCTGCTAGAAAAAGGGATAAGAACTGCACCGGGGCAGAATTTGGGGAGTGATTACGCTTTCACTAGCCGCTTTGAAGAGCTGCTGTTTGTGTGCTAAGTATGCGTTTGCCATCCGTTGATGCCAACTAGGAAGCTGGCTAAACGTCTGTAACCTTGTCAGCTTACTAATCCAATTTAGGCGGTATACGTGCGGAACGGCAGATGTAATACCTACTACCTTCTACAGGATCTGCCAATAAACACAACTGAACTGAAAAAATATATTCAACACACTTCACCTTATTTCCAGAATTGTTTGTTCTGATTGAGGAAAATACCGCAAGAGCTCAAAATATATTATCATTTATAGCTAAGACGATCTTTGATTCTCATCAGGTTCTTATTAAGTTCCAACTACCTGGTAATCTGCTTGGCCAGACGAATATAGGGTTATTATTTCAAAATAATATATAATATATATAATACAATATAAATATGCAATATATATTTCATTGGATCTCTAACAGCAAACGTTTTCTCCGGCTTCGAATGAGCTGTTTACATGTTTTTAATTTGACTTGACAGTGCAGTTAACTGCTCATTTTATACTTGCTCTAATTTTAGAAAGTAATAGATTTGTAATAATATAATTAAGCGATCAGTAGTTATGCCAAAAGAATTTTTTTATTTTTTATTCTCTTTTGGCTTAGCTGAGTCTATATAAGAGGTAAGATAAAGCAGGATAGTCTTCTTGGCCTAGTGTTAACGAAAGCCTTTTAAAAAATGACACCCAGCTCTGATGATGTCTATCATATGATGGACGAAAGCTCGGCATGTTTTCACCCGAAACGAGGGAGGAAGTCTCGTGGACTGCGTCAACATGAATATCGTCTAAAACCCAAACTGCGGCAGTACAACGAGATTCATCCGTCCTCATCTGGTGAGACCGACCAACGAATCTCCTTCTTATGCACTTTCATACGAAATGAAGGTCCCCCTAACAATATTGCTTTTCAGTCAACTTTACTCAATAATTATTAATTATTGATCACTTAATTAAATTATTACAAATCTATTAATTTCTAAAATTAAAGCAAGTATAAAATGAGCAGTTAACTGCGCTGTCAAATCAAATTAAAAACATGTAAGCAGCTCATTCGAAGCCGAATAAAACTTTTGCTGTTAGAGATCCAATGAAATATATATTGTATAATTATATAGTATTATATATCTATATAATATTAAATATAATATATATTATAGGTGCCTATTTGTTTCGAAATAATAACCCTATATTTGTCTGGCCAAGCAGATTACCAGGTAGTTAAAACTTAATAAGAAACTGATGAGGATAAAAGATTGTCTTAGCAATGAATGATAATATATTTTGGCCTTGCGGTATTTTCCTCAATCAGAACAAACAATTTCGGAAATAATGTGAAGCACGTTTTCACCCGAAACGAGGGAGGAAGTCGCGTGGACTGCGTCAACATGACTATCGTATAAAATCCAACCGGCTGCAGTACAACGAGTTTAATCCGTCCTCATCTGGTGAGATCGACCAACAAATCTCTTCTTCATGCACTTTCATACGAAATAAGGGTCCCGCTAACAATGTTATCTTAGGAGATTCATCGAAACCAAGTTTCCCTTCGTATTGACAAGCAATAGATTCGTAATATCTCAGCGTTTGGGCCAGTTACTTAAGCACACTATCAGCATCCCTGTCTTCTTCGCCTGTGTGAATTGTTTTGCCGAAAGTTACTTCGCCTTTCGGCCGTCTTAACGACTAAAAAGAGCACCCAGACGGCTGTCTACTATGTTGATCTGACTTGTTGTTACCTTGCCAGGCAAACCCAAGATTCGTCCTTCTTCACGGTGGCTCGAGCCCACAGAATGGGATAGGGGCGACACGCTGCAGTTGAAGCTTCCCTTCACGGGCTACCCGAAGCCGACGGCTGTGTTCAGCCTCAACGGACAGCCGTTGCGTGAGGGCCGAGGCGTCAGCATACAAATGAAGGAGCGTCATGCCATACTCACTATCGACAGTCTAGCGGCTGAGCATTCGGGTCGTCTTACCGTGCGCATGGAAAATGAGATGGGCACCGATTCAGTTGACATACAGCTTCAGGTGAACGACCGACCTCCGCCCCCGATCAACGTGACGGTGGAGGGTGTCACTGACGGCGCAGCCACTCTGTCATGGAAGATGCCACCAGGCACAAAGTACATCTCCGAGTATGTGATCGAGCGCTGTGAGGTGCCCGGAGACCACTGGATTCGTGTGGGAACATTCAGGTTAGTTAAAGATATTTACGCATGCGAGGAGTCCGATTGGGCTATACCAATTACGCTACTCTTCTTCTGCTCTGTGTGCCATGACAATGATGCAGATTGGGTGTTTTCAAAGCGATAAGAAGTCTTCATCCATAGGCTTAACTTACCTTTAAATTATTGAGTATGCTTTGGTTAGTCGAAAGTTGAAATCCATCCGGAACAATGAATTACTTTTAAATCTCGTGGAATGGTGGAATTCTGCTGAAAAATAGGCCTTCTCCTTACTAACTGGAGTGGCTAATATCTGAAAACACTAATATTTCCGGTATATACATTATTTGAGCTTGTTATCACAACTTGATCATAGTTTCAGGGAGATCTAGACGAATGCCTTCTGTCATAATATTCATGATAATATACAGCGTCGGACCTTAGACTTGCTACATCCCTAGACAGGTCTCACTAACTTTGCGCAAAAGGGCACACCTGAACTAAGTTCGAATAAGCATGTAAGAAATCGTGATACTGAAGGAGATGATACGAGGATATAAGAAAGAAGAATACACCAGAACAGAAGAAGGGATATCACAACTGTTTAGCAGACTATAATTGATCAAAAGATCGACTTCACGTGTCTATTTTATGAGTTGTAGTGTGATACTAGGCCCGGCGAGGCTCACTGGTGGTGCCGGAGCAACGGCTGGGAATGTGCCAAGTCTAGGGCCTGACTGAAGATGAGCATGGACATCATGGGCTCTCGACAAAGTTTGTTCCTACAGGTCGCAGTGAGAATGCGAATAAGTTTCAAAAACCATATCAAATAACTTTTATAAGGCG